CAGTAAAAATACTCTCTATGATATTATAATGCAGGGTATATGTCATCATACATTAGTCCTAACCCACAGAATGTACAACACCAAAAGTGAACCCTAAGGTAAACTAGGAAATTTGACACATTATGATGTGTCTAGATAGGTTTATCCTTGGTAACAAATGCACCATTCTGGTGAGTGATGCTAACAATGGGGGAGGCTATAAATGTGTTGGGGCAGAAGGTATACAGGAAATCTCTGTACCGTCTTCCTCTTAATTTTGTTGTGAACCTTAAACTGCTCTAAAAACTAAGGTCTTTAAAACAAAAGACCCCGTCAAATCAAATTTTGTGGTGTGAAAATAAAGCTGAGGTTAATGAGAAATTTTTATCTTTAAATTGTTAGATTAGAAAAGGAGAAGAGTTTAAAATCTGTGATCCAAGTTTCCACCTTAAGTATCTAGTGAAACAAAAGCAAATTAAACCCAAAGTAAGTAAAAGGAAAGAAACAATAAAGAGCAGAAATCATTGAAATAGAAAATCTATGAGCAGTAGTAGAGACAATTTATAAATCCAGAAGATGATCATTAGAGATACTAGAGATATCAAAAATGATAAGGGCATATTATGAACAACATTATGCCAAAGAATTCAGTAACTTAGACAAAATCAGCAAATTTCTTGAAAGATACAACTTATAAAAACTGACCCAATAAAAAATAGAAAATCAAAATAATCCTGGGGCCTGCCCCCTGGCTTAGCGTGAGGTTCATGCGCTCTGTTACTGGCGGCCTGGGTTCGGATCCCGGGCGCACACTGACGCACGGCTTCTCCGGCCATGCTGAGGCCGTGTCCCACATACAGCAACTAGAAGGATGTGCAACTATGACATATAACTATCTACTGGGGCTTTGGTGAGAAAAAGGAGGAGGATTGGCAATAGATGTTAGCTCAGAGCTGGTCTTCCTCAGCAAAAAGAGGAGGATTGGCATGGGTGTTGCTCAGGGCTGATCTTCCTGACACACACACAAAAGTAATAATAATAATCCTATATCAATTAAGAAATTAAATTCATAATTAAACACTTTCCAAAAAAAAAACCTCCTGGGCCACCCGGCATCATTAGTGAATTCTTGCATACACTTAAGGAAAAATAACACTCTTTTATAAATCCTTTCAGAAAAAAATAAGAGGGAACATTTTTCATTCCATTGTATGCGACCAGAATTACCCTGATTCAAAACCTGACAAAGACAATTTCGAGGAAAAAAAATTATGAATCTATATCTCTCATGAACATAGCTGAAAAAATTTAATAAAATATTATCAAATGAAATCCAGTAATAAAAATAATAATGTATCGTGACCAAGTGCACTTTATCCCAAGAATGCAAGGTCGAGTTAACATTGAAAATCAATGTAATTCACTATATTAACAGAATATTCTTTCTATGGGTGTAAAAAAAGAATTTGACAATTTTCATCATCCATTCGTGACATAAACTCTCAGCAAACTAGAAAAACAAGTGTTATTTCCCCATCTGATAAAGACCATTCTTGAAAAATCTACAGCTTACATCATATTTAAGGATGAAATATTGATTATTTCTCCTTAAGAACAGAACCAAGACAAGGGCATCTATTTTTCCCACGTCAACACAACATTTTACTGGCAATCTTAGCCAGTACAAGGAGACAAAAATAGACAAATAAAAGGGATACAGTTTAGACAGAAAGAAAAAATTTGTTAATTCACAGATAACATTATCTATGTAAAAGATTCTGAGAAATCTACCAAGAAGAAAAACCACCTAGAACTAATGAGTGAATTTACCAAAGTTACGGGTACAAGGGCCATGCCAGCACGAACTAAAAACATGAACCAAAAATATGCGAAAACTTCAGTCAAGGCTTCTCTAGCTTAAATACTGAAATATCAAAACAGTGATTGTTCAGGAGGTTGGAAGTTGGGCTATTCATAGCCCTGCTCCGGCTCAACTCAGCTCCAAGAGGAATCTGAATGCTCAGACCCTCACCTTAACTGCCAGACAGAGGAAGAGACTTAGACTCTTTGGGAAATAAACAAAACAAATATTATGCTTCAGTCTCCACTGAGTTTTTGTACATAATGTTCAGAATACTATAAATAGTTTGAGTCATAACAAGAAGCAGGAAAATGTGACCCCTAATGGAGAGAAAACACAGTAAATGGAAGCAGACCTGTATATGACCCAGGTTTTGGAATTAGGAGACAAGGAATTAAAAACTATCATGAATATATGAAATGATTTACAGGAAAAGATACACACACACAAGGTATATACACATCAATATGACACATATATAGATATATATGACATTTATGTCATATATACATATGTGGCACAGATAGATATAAACATATATAATACAATACGCACATGTATGTAACATGTATTAGATAATACCTATATGTATATATCCATATATTGCACATAGAAGAGAAATGGAACCTCTATAAAACAACCAAATGAAAATTCTAGAATGAAAACTGCAACATATTAAA